TATACAGTCCGAAAGTTCCAATGATATCTCTGCGGAATCGTGGCGAAAGGCCGTGCAAGAGGTCTGCTGTTGAGCACTTCGATGATTTAAGTTTTTGATGCCTGCAAGGCAGCTTGTTGGCAGTGAAACCAGCTCACTTTTAGACGCAACCAAAAATGCCCGTTTCAATTCCCAGTTGTCCGCTTGTTCTGTTTTTGTCTCTTTGATTTTCAGCCCGTAACTTGTTCATTTTGCGACCATGCTGTTCGCGCCGTCCTCGGACAGGTTGAGGTGCTTTACGTGTCTCTTGGTCCTTGCCTTTATTCACTGGTAGTTGCAGCTCAGCTGGGCCGGTGTAGGGCGCTGGATAACACTGTGATACACCTGCGCATCAGACTCGGCCCTGCTAATCTGGGCAGCTGGCTTATACTCCTAACTCGCTTTTTGCACAGCATATGTGCGCCGTATGCCATTCGAGTGGTTATCACTCACTAAAGGCGCGTTCTTTGGAGTGCTGAATGCAGCAGCACATCGTGATAAGAGAACATTTCTGCCGGGCCTGTGTGCGCCTCTCTGCGAATGAAACTTTCAGCCACGTGAGAAATGGCCTCGGTCGATTTACATCGTTGGTTTTGAGAGGCCTTTTTTTTTTCTGGCCTGCTTTTTACAGCACATTTCACGTAGAAAACATATAATATGCGTTGCAGTTTACTGTATGGTGCAGAATTTTGGGCCCATTTAAGGCGCACTTATTTTCTGGCATTTGTCGCTGTGCACTGCGCAAGATTAGTGCATCACCAACGAGGAATGGAATTTTTTTAGGAAGCCGACAGGTACATTGAAGGGCATTATGAAGAAACAGGTATAGCAGCAGTGTTCGTAAACAACGATGCGTTAACTTTATGCATTGAAAGCCATCGATATCAGCCCAAGAATTTCTGGTAAGATTCAACTTACTTTTCCCTTTATAAAGAGCAGTGGATTAAACAGCTTCCGGCAACGTAATAGCACATCCGTTTTGGCATCTTCTGCCCAGATCACGAGCCTTCCTGCCTATGTGCTTCATTTGGAATTCTTTGGGAGGCTAAAACACTTGTACATCTTGTTAAGAAAAAAAAAAAACCCCGGTGTTGGCTCCATTCGGTTTAAGGGGGGCGAAGGAAGAGGAGAGGGGAAAATGAGTTGTTTCATTGTGGTGCTGTTATCGAGGAAAAAAGAATGCTTTGAGAGTGAAATAATGAGACTCCTAAAAAGCAAGATTTATAACCTTTATTTACTTCCTTTACTACGCCTTTGAATCTATTATGGCAGTGCTTTTTGCCGATTATAGTTGGGCAGGACTGTCACTAGTCACGACTTTCTATTACCTTTAAGAGGAATAAAAAGCGAGACAGGAAAAAGTGGCGGTTAAACGTGTTTGCTTTCTAGGAACGGACGGTGGCGTTCGCAGTGGGCAGTGCCATTCGCGGATGGAAAAACCGAGCAACGTGAAATTAAGGGGATAATTAAAGTACATGTGCATTATTACGAGGACGGCAATGTTCAGCTCGTATCCTCTAAAGAAATCACTGCCAAAGTTACATTCTCTGTTAGTTTTTTTTTTTTTTTTTTGGAGGGGAGGGGGAGAGGGGGGTTTAATTTTACTAATGAAATGATAATAACTTACATATAATAAAAGTAAAGGTAATGCATTTCGTGTCCATTTATACAGTGTTTGATCAAAGCAAATGCTTTATAAATTCTTTGTCTCTTCAGAGCTCGAATTTTCAGGCTGATTTTTCGCAGGCCGCAAAAGATGTATTGAAGACCATATGGGATGAAGAAGCAAAATACCAAGTAATTTTTTTGTGTGACTGGAATTGACGTTACTTAGGGACAGAGGATTTTTAGTCGGAATGTGTCTGGAGTGCCTTGCAAGCTGTTTCAAATTTGTCACATTTTTGTTTTCAACGGGAGGGGATGGGGGAATTTGCACTTTATTTTGCATTTAATCAATCTCTTAATTTTGTATGCTAAGCCCATTTCTTTCCTATATTTAGCAGTCCCCGTTTAAGTTGTGA